AGCCGGCTTTGGTCGGGTCCGAGTGAAATAGGTATGACTCGGTTCTTGATATCATGGATTTTTAGTCAGCCAATAGTGGCTGGAGAGAGTTTTTGAACTCGTTAACTGGCGATTCTTTGGTTCGGCGATACCGATGTTGAAAACCGATTCGTGGGGAAACGAGGCGTCATGGGAAGAGTGGGCAATGATTATGTTGAGCGGTTGATATTCCCCATAAGTCATTTCTGCTCTCAAAAACGGATCTGTTTTGATCTTCCTTGGTTGCTTTGAGGTCATGCCTCTTGAGTTCTGGATGCTTCTTCAGAGGTTTTATAAATAATCCCTGATACGACTCTGGGAGTACATTTCTTCATCAAAAACATTCTTCTTGTTAGATCCCTATTTCTTTAAATATTTTATTCATGGCTTTTTCTCAAAATGACCGTGAGAGGAGGCTCAGGGTTCTGTATTGTGCTCGATCAAGAATGTCTTTGGATGACGTGCTTTACTTGTATAGTTGGTTTATATATTCATTTATGTGTTTTTATGTATGCATGTATGTGTTTTAGCATGACTTGAAGGGTATTTTTGGAAGAAATGTTTTAACATGGCAACACATTTTTATAATAATATTAGATTAGATAGATTAGATAGATTAGATAGATATGTCATATAAGGGAATATCCTCATATAAAATGATGTCGTTCATTTAAACCAAGTGTAGTATGTGAGAGTGTCTTTCATTATTCATTCGGTAAAGGTTGAGCTACATCATTATCATATTAGGGAGAGAGAGTGTCTTTCATTATTCATTTGGTAAAGGTTGAGCTACATCATTAGGGACCCCCCTAGTATGATAAGAATACCCATTGATTTTTAGTGTGGGTAAGTTTTGGACTAGTTTAATGAGAGTTTCTCTTCCCCTCCTAGTTGTGTGAAAGAATCCCAATAAGTTTGAGACACATTTCACATTTGTTGCAATTTATTTGGCTAAATACCCATATTGGTATTTTAATTCCATCCCATTTACCAAGAATGTATTTTAATTAGGCAAACCTGCTTTAAGGCATTTTAATTGATTCAACTTACCGACAAGGTCCTTTTTCTCATCGGCGACCAGTTTTCTGGTGAGAGCTCGTCACGTGCGTGGCACGTGATGACTTAAACTGTTATTTAGCTGTTGATGTAGCACGGATTTTCTGACGTGGCAGTGTTTAAAGGCGGGAATTAACACTCTAAAAATCCCAATTCACCCAAAATAGGACAGATCTGTGCCACATCAGCAGCTAAAAAACAGTTTTAAGTCATCACGTGCCACACACGTGACGAGCTCTCGTCGGAAAACTGGTCGCCGACGAGAAAAATGGTCTTGTTGGTAAGTTGAATCAATTAAAATGCCTTAAAGTAGGTTTGCCTAATTAAAATACCTTCTTGGTAAATCGGGTGGAATTAAAATACCAATATGGGTATTTAGCCCAATTTATTTTGAAGCAAACCAAACATGCCTCAAATACTTTTTAAAGACGTCACCATGCTATCAAAAAGGTTTCTGCCTAATAAAAGAGGGTTCAATTTGCTGGACATGTTCGAATATAAAATTGCAACCCTCACCCTTCACAACAACTCGGAGTTTTGGTGCATTGAAAATCTTGACATGGATAAAATTAAGGGTGAATTTCACAAACCACCCCCCATTAAGTTTGGTTGTTTCTAAGACAACCCTCCTTAACCTTAAAAATGTCAAAACCCGCCTTAAGATTAGCCAATTTTAAGATAGTCCAAACTTTAAAAATGTGACGAGATATCTGCTTTGTTAGATTACTCGCCTAACTAACATGTTTATATTTGACACCATACATGCAGATTACTCATCTAACTAATATTTTTCGATTTGACAGTGTATGTGAAAATCACATGCATCAAAATGACCAAATACCAAAAAAAACCCCTTCATGTTCTTTTAATCATTTAAAAGATAATTCTCATATAAAAACCCTAAGTTAGATTTAGGGATTTGATTAATGTAATAATTGCTTAATTTAATTTAAGGGAAAATTGCTTGGAGGAACCAAAAATAGTTGGGCCAAGCATCCTCACCCCTAGCCCAAGAACCATAACCCCCAAGCCCTAAAATTAAAAAATATGTGCAACCAAACCCCAAACCACTGCCCAAGAAAACCGCTTCCCAAATTACCCTTCTTCCCAATTAAAACTCAATCCATTTCCTCCCCTCCCCTCAATCCCTCCCCCCCCTCTGCGGCCTCGTCGGCGCCTGCTGCCGCAACTCCCTCGTCCTCTGGATCTACCTCCTCGTCATGTTCCTCCTCATTCTCCTCCTCTTCTGCTTCACCGTCTTCGTCTTCGTCGTCACCAACAAGGGAGCCGACGAGGTTATCTCCGGGAGGGGCTACAAGGAGTATAGACTCGGGGACTACTCTAACTGGCTGCGGAAGAGGGTCGAGAGCTCCAAGAATTGGTGGAAGATTAGGAGCTGTTTGGTTGATAGCAAGGTTTGCCAAAAGTTTGAGGCGAATGGCAGCAAGAATCTGGATCAGTTCGTGAAGGAGAATCTGTCGCCACTTCAGGTAGTAGATGAATTTGTGTCTTTACGTGTGTTTTTAGATCTGAGTTGCTCTTGGTTTTCATGGGTTTGTTCGATTTGCAAGGAATTCTTGTTGGGTTTCAGGATTTGGGCTTTTTTGCTATTCTTTATTAATTTTAGGGAAAATTTCTTGGAGGAACCAAAATAAGTTGGGCCATGCGGTGGCGGTGCTGATCGTGAGGCATCGGTTGAAGAGCTCATGGCGGTGGGCGGGTGGGCGAGGGAGACGACGATCTTGAAGGAGCTCGAGGAGAAGTGAGCGACACTCAAGATGCTCATCAGCTACGTCGACAATCTCCCACTGGGTGAGTGATCTGATTCTTTGGATCTAACGTTCTTGTTTTGTGATCTTTCTTTATTTTTGTATTTTTAGTGATTTTATTAGTTTTAGCATATTAGATGAACGTCGTAGTAGATCGTTGGCTTGGATTTGGATTGATTACTGCATTTTTTCAGCCATAGATTTTTTAACTTTATGATGTTGGATGAAGTGTCAATGTTTCTTTGTTTTGATTCATTAAAAATCAGAATTTGTGAAGCAGTTTTTTGTCGAACGCAAAAAGGCTTGTAAGTTTCTCTAAACATCTTATACTTACCAGTTTATTAATACCTATGATACTTACTTATGTCACATATGCTGGTTTCATGTGACATAGTGACATTCTGGGTGATATATTCTGCTTTTAAGTAGTAAATATCACAACAAAATGTCAAAAGTAACATGTAACAGACAACAATCACAAAAGAGTTTGAATTCTACCAGAAAACATTAATCTTGGATAGGTTCATATCGCAAATAGGAAGTGTTCTCACCACACGAATCCAATTGTTGTAAGATTCATCAATATTGGAAGTGATATGACCATATTTGTGTATCAAACAAAAATTCACTATCTCAAATTACAGCCATGTGTCACATATAAACAACAAATGTCACAAGCAACAACAAAATATCACATACAACAGATATAAGTCACATCTAATAGAGTCATTCCACATGAAATGAGTAAATGTCACACATGAGACAAGTCACTTGCTATGTCGTTCATCATCCACACATGCTCTCCTTGAGGATTGTTGTTTGGGATCCTTTCTGATTCCTCGATTGGGATCCTCTCATAAGGTTCCTCGATATGATCCGATGACTGTGAGCTTACATTAGAAGACTGCAAGTTGAAGATAACATACTCATCACAAATAAAGTCGATATATCACAAGTAAAGTCGATATGTCGCAAGCAAAGTCGTCAGGTCATATATAAGACGAAAATATCACAGTTCCCATTATACAAAGTATCCATAACCTGAAAATAATCTTTTGAATTCTTTTGTCCTTTTGCACGAGGCCTGTGTTTCATTAACCAAATAAAGATGAGATCTCTGTAGCTAATTGGAAATATATAGTTGGTTGACCTGTGTTTCATTAACCAAATAAAGATGAGATCTCTGTAGCTAATTGGAAATATATAGTTGGTTGAAGATCATCTGCTGTTATGTGATAATAAAGATGAGATCTCTGTAGCTAATTGGAAATATATAGTTGGTTGAAGATCATCTGCTGTTATGTGATATTTTAGTATTCTGTGTGACATATGCTGCTGTTATATGATATTTTAGTATTCTGTGTGACATATGCTACTGTTATGTGATATTTTTACATTCTATGTGATATATTCTCGTTACCAGTTATATATGCTGCAGTTTAAGTGTTATGTGATATTTTTACAGATATGATTGTGACATACATGAACATTTTTTCATCAAGGCGGTCCTAGAGGGAAGGGAGAAAATGAATATTGAAGCATTGCAAAGGGAGTCTGAGATATTAGGAGCATGACTTGCTGCTCAAATCATATACGAAGGTGGTGAATGAAAGAAGTTACAATTAAAGTTAAATATTGGCGATCCAGAATATCTTTTGTACTTTGGGGGTAATAGCCACTGCTAGAAAATGAACTATTGCCGACGGGACTTTAGCGACAGAATATTCCGTCGCTATAAGTCTTGTTATAGCGACGGAATTTGTCGTCGCTATTTTTCCGTCGGTAAAAAAGTTTTACCGACGGAAATTTCACAATTAGCGACGGAAAATTTCTGTCGCCATTAATTTCCCGACAGAAATTTTCTGTCGGGAAATTTTCGTCGCTAAAACGCCTTTTAGCGACGGAAATTTCCGTCGCTAAAACACAAAAATGGGAACTTTTTCTGAGCGCGGGCGTTTTTCTCTCCGTTCTCCCCAAAAAATTCATTCCACCGCCAAAAATTCATCCCCGAAAATTTCGTCTCACCGCCAAAAAATTCATCACCCTCTCAAATCCCTAACCCCCTCCACCCCGCACCCTCTCAAGTCCCCAAAAATTTCATCACCTTCGACCTCATCTTCGTTGTCATCACCTTCGACCTCATCTTCGTTGTCATCTCTTCCGGCCGAGAACCGCCCCACTTCTCCACACCGTTCGAAGCTCGGTCGAGAACCCTTGTCTTCTGCCTTCTCCTGCGCCTCGTCCTTCTTCTCTGCCTCTTATTCCGCCTGCGCCGATGACCACGCTGATTCTGACAATCCGCCACCGAGGACGATCAGGATTTCTTCATCTCCGCCTTCGTCGCTTTTTTTTTTGTTCTCTCTTTTTTCCTCTCCAGCTATTTAATTATTAAATTTTTTAATTTAATCACCTTTTCAGAGTCCTATAAATATTGAGCCACAGGCGCTCCACCTCGACTTATACCATTTTCATTTCCCTCCTCTGAAATCGATTGGGGGAAAAAGAACTCGTCGCCATTTCCGAAGTAAGCAGCTCATCTCCCTCTTTTTCTTACTATATATTCGCATATTATTGTTTGATTTAGAGATAGAATTGTTTATTTTTTCGCTACATCTACCAACGGATCTCGATCTTGATTTGGTTGGATCGATCTTTGAGTTGCTATCATGTTCAAATTTAGGGTATTGTTGATATCTGGGAGCCTCTTAATCTCACGTGAGGGATTGTTTTGTAAATTTTTTGTTTTCCAATGTTCTTAATTAGGGTTTGTGAGCTACAAGTTTCTTAAGACTGTTACATTAATGGTCCAATACAACTTAGACCCCCCCGCTCATTCAAAATTTTTTATTTTTATTTTTAAATTTAGTTAAAGCCAATTCTTGTTCATGCTCTCATCCCTTCCCTTGAAAGCCATCTTCTTTGTAAGTGATGGGGGTTGACTATACATCTTACTTGTTCGTTGAGTTGTTAACATTTAGCATGGAGCGTGAGAAGTTGGGACTCTTCAATGATCAAAGGCTTCCGATAATTGAACAACATAACAGATCAACAAATACAATATCTCATTAATGACAAATTTATCGAACTGCAGCAAAATCAAGCGCGTCTCGAGGATAATATATATATTTTTTCAAATGTGTTCCTGAGGCATCAAAGCTAGAGATGTGATTGCCAAGATTGAAAGTCGTCATCACTTGGGTAATCTTTGCTTGTCGTTGTTGTAATTTTGTTTTAGTAAGGAACACTACTAAAAGGTATAAGATGAGAGGAGAAAGGCATGGATTGTATCCTCCAGACGAGCATGTAAGTTTTAAGTCAAGAGTTAGTCCTTAATCATGGTTGGGCTAGGTCTTTAAATGGAATATACACGACAATACTTTTAACAAGTGGGTAGATCATCGTTAAGGATATATATCCAAATATTGATTCAATTATAATTTTGTTAGGAATTGTATAAGAGAAAACACTTCCAATTCTAATTCTTCATGCAATAGGTTGGTTGCATCACAAGGCTGGTACCCCAGAAGGGTGTGCATCTAATTAGGCATGCAATATATCGAACATTGGAGCTGGGAGGACAATTTTTACTCCTAGGCTCAAGTCCAGTGCCACACATCCAAGTAATTCCCAGCTTTCTTCAGTGATTTTTGGCATTTATGTTTTATTAAATATAGCGTGTTTTGGTTACCCCTCCTAAGCATTTTCTTTACTGTCACAGCTTAATGTAATGCTTCTTTCTTTCTTTTTTCATTGTACCGAGTTTTCCTTATGTCACTTCTTTGGGTGTTACAATATGGTTATTTATTTCCTCCTTTAGTAAATTTTATTCATGTTTTTGTACCTGTGAACTTGTGCCCAGTGATCAATCATTTTGTTCTCTTGCTAAATGCTTTCTTGATGATGATCTTTTGTGCTGGTGTTGGATCCAAAGAAAATGTATGCATCATAACTTTTACATTTTATCACATTCTGTTCGGAATGGACATATATGCTATGGTACATACTTGTAGAGGTTAGTATGACACATCTCTATACTTAACTGCAGTTGATGTTAAAGGCATAATATAGGACTTCTGTTGAGTTTAAATTTCATCCTTTTGATCAAGTAAATTGTACGGAACAGTTTTTTTTATTTGCGTCCCTCTCATTTTTACAAGAACATATTTGAAATTGATTGTATGATGCAGAGATTGCGTGTTGGAGGATGGTGGGAGAGAGATCGACACAGAGGATCAGAACAGAATATCTTACAGCAGTGCTGAGGCAAGATATTGGATTCTTCGACACTGAAGTTACTACAGGAGATGTTATGCATGGAATTTCTAGTGATGTTGCCCAAATTCAAGAAGTCATGGGGGAAAAGGTTAAGCTTCATATTTCCTTTTGGTTTCTGTTTTTCTTTGACCGAGTTTAGTTGGTAAGATACTGTTATGTTGATTTTTATAATATGATGATGACTTGCAATGGTTGATTGAGAATGCAAATTCACTGTTATTTTAGCTAGAATACATTAAAATAATGATGTTTTTCTAAGAAATGAATTATGTATTGATTGAGTCCGTAGTATAATAGTCTTCTCAAAAAGTTTAATAGCAAATTGTTATTTTCTTGAGTTGTTCCTTATATTTGAGAAGCAACTAATCACACATTACAAGAAAGTAATATGACCTATTAATTTGATAACCTTCAAGGTTCTGACGCATCATTATTTGCTGATGGTGTTGTTTTACCTAATGTCTTGTTGGTGCTTTAATGTTCTTGTTGATTATATTTGCCAACTTTAGTAATGATAACTTCGAGCCATTCTTAGTTTACCTACTAGTGGATGCTACAAAGATGAAGGAATGGGGATTTGGTGATGGTGGTGGTGATGGAGGGGGAGGGGGTGGGGGTTGAGTGTGGTTGGGTTGTGCTTAGGTTAGGTTTGAAAATGATGATGGTGAATAAACTCTATATGTGTAATGTTAGTAGTGGATGTGCCTTTGCTCATGCAAGTTTACACACCTCAAAAGTATCAGTTCCTGGAATACTTATTTGGTCAATGAAGGTTATAAACAATTCACTTGTACTGTTAAGACAATCATACAGTGAGTAGAAGATAAAGAACTGAACTTGGATCTAAGCTCGTTTCATTTGTTTGCCAATAAGCACAACCTCAAAAGGTACCAAATGAAAACTGTTATGCATATGACATGATCAATAGTATCAACACCAGAAATTTGTATGTTTCTCTATTCTTTTGTTTCATTTATGTTTTCCCAATTCTATTAAATGATATTCCAGTTTGCTGGAACAATAAACTTGAAAGCACCAAGTGAAGCCATCTTAAGTAAACATGGGTATCTAATCTTCCTTTAGATCGTGATCGCTTGACATCTCTTCTTGTTTATGCTTTTACAATACTTTAACTGATAATAATTAATTTTAAAAGTAGTACACCATTGTCTATTTTCGTATATTGTTGGGCAAGCCACATGAGTGTGTGCTTCAATTTGTTTTAGTAACTAAAATTATTAATCTTAATGCTAGAAACAGCTTAAAACTCTGGATGAGAGTTACTAATTTCCAACTTCAAAGTTATACAAAGCGGGACTAGCATTGTTATCTCTTGTGGCAAATCTCTCTTCTTTATCTTGTCTTGAATTTTTGAGAATGCATCAGGTATATGCAAGATTGTTTCCCCAATAAGCGCTTCAGTCCCTGCTGGTGTTGTTTTGATGAAGGAGAAACCCGGATTTAAGTTCACTACAAGAGTTCAACCTTTTCGACTTTCTGAGTGGGATATAGATGACAAAATCACTTTTTTTATGAGTGGCAGGTTGGTCGCTCTTCCATTAGATGATATGCATTGTAATCAATATCATAATTCAAGAATATGTGATTATTGGTAAGTTTTATAGGAGCTATACCCTTCGGGAGTATGAAAAGATGGCAAATAAGGTTTTTGCTCGGAGATACTCCAGTGCCGGATGCCTTCCTACTAAATATCTGGAAGAAGAGTTTTGGCATGAAATTGCCTATGGCAAGACTGAGACTGTTGAGTATGCATGTGATATTGATGGCAGTGCCTTCTCATCTTCGCCTACTGATGAACTTGGAAAAAGCAAGTGGAACTTGAAGGTGATTACTTTCCTAGGGTCTTTTCTTTCAATAACTTTCCGAATGGAAGTGTTTGAAATAAAATAAGCGATTACGCACATAATTTTTTCTATTACATTAGCATGGTAGTTGTACACTTGTAGGTTACATGAGATTAATATAACCTGCTTCTTTCAGGGCCTTTCTCGACTGCCCAACTCTACTTTACGGCTACTGGGGAATTTGAAAGTTACATGATTAATGTTCTCGTGGAATTTTATCTACTGAAGGAGATAATGATGCATTTAGTTTGCTCTTGGGGAAGACAACCATGTTTCCTCCAAATATATTGCTAGAACACAATGTTCCAGTTTACAAAGCTGTACAGAAACCTGGAGAATTTGTAATAACATTCCCTCGAGCATATCATGTACAGAAACCTGGAGATTGCTTTTTTTACCTTTGAAAACAATGAGTGTGTACTGTATAAACAATATTTATCATGGTGTGTTGTATAAATAATTTTAATTATGTTGGGATATTTTTATGAAAATATGTGTTATATATGCGTGAGAATGAAATTATACTGCTGATTGAACAGTGTTTTAAATTTATTATATTATTGTATAGGTTTTTTTAATTTTTAAAATAATTATTTTTTATTTTTTTAAAATAGCGACCAATTTTCCGTCGCTAATAAACCGTCGCTAAAATTTAGCGACGGAATTTCCGTCGCCAATAGTCTTTTTAGGCACCCCTGTTATAGCGTCGAAATTTTAGAGACGGAACTTTATTTTTTCCGTCGCTAAAACTTTTAGCGACGGAAAAACGACTTATAGCGACGGATTTGTCCGTCGCTAAAAGTTAAAAATCCAGTAGTGAGCGTACCATTGATTGCGTTGAAGTATTAGACAAACACATGTAACTATTTTATTTGTTGGATGTTGGATGTTTACTAGCTGTTTGTAAATGATAAAATGTGCATTTGTAATTTCTTGGTGATATTTTTTTAGCATATTAAATGGAATCTGAAAGTAAAGTTCTTTAGCATATTAATTTCTCGGTTATGTCCTTCAGCGATACTTCAAGAGTGTTTCCCTTCATGCAATTTTGTTGAAGAAGGACATAGATATCTATTCGATTTTGTTGTCCATGGATCAATGTTAATCTCAGACTCCCTTTGCAAGGCTTCAATATTTATAACATATAAGTGTCACATATAAACGACAACTGTCACAAATAATAGCAAAATATCACATAACACAGATAAGGCTCACATATAATAGAGTATTGCCACATGAGACGAGTAAAGGTCACACATAATAGACGAACATATACTTGTATGCAACAAACTCCAATAATTTTGAAATACGTTGAGCAACACTTGAGGCAGAACCCATCTCTCTAATCTTTAATTTATAATTCTCAACAAAACGAAGTGCACATCTGGAATGATATGCATCTAGAGTTATATCTTTTAGATGAAGTACACATCTAACGTTCACATATAGTATATTAACGTCACATAAGAGGTCTCAATGTCACATGTAATACTCAAAAGTCACAAATCAGATCTAAATATCACATATAAGGTAGAACTATCACATGTAGGATTAAATTGTCACATATAACATTGAAATATCACATGATATGCTTATTTGTCACATTTACGGTTAACTGTGATACATATATGTTCCAAAAAATCCCTCATTTTCCTATTTAACCTTAAATAACTAAGTTACAATCTCAACTCATCATCCCATTTCCTTCGTAGAACCAATCTACAACAACGTGCAGTACAAACAATGAACTCAAAACTCAAAACTCAAATTTAAAGCAAACAAATTTATAACAAACAAAAATCATATTTGCCTCGCGCTAGATGCAATGGCGTCGCACCATTGTTATCGCTAACATTTACAAATCTAGAAAATCCCCTGTAATTCAACAACAATAGCGGCCTTTAAGCTTATGAATTTATAATCTAAAACGATATTATTCTGTTGAGACTCACCAAGAATCAGCAGCTGAGGTTGAATTGGCAACAAATACAATTGCTTCTAAGCAATCCGAATGGCCGTAATATGCAACATAATGCAAACAACTTCTACCATGCAATGAATCAAACATCAAGATCTGAAACAACAAATTAAACCGAAATTAGTTTCTCTTCAAATCTCAACATATTATCAAAACTACTAAAATAACACTAGAGGAAGATTATTTCTTACAGTAGCTCCAGCTTCAAGGAGCTTCTCCACACAAGAAATTTTTCCATGCATCGTAACAATCATCAAAGGAGTCTAAAAATTACAAAAAAAAAAAACCCCAAAAAGGCTAGATCACAGAAATTCATTAAAAATCAAAATTTGAAGCATACCCAGTAAAGTGACCAAGAATCAGGACTCAGACCTCGAGCTGCCCATTCGCGGCAGAGCTAAGGAGGGGGTCGGGGAGGAGGGGGAAGGGGGAGGAGGAGAGGATGCGGATGAGGAGGGAGGAGGAGGGGAGGGGAGGGGGGGGGGGGAGGGGGGGGTTGGGGGGGAGGGGGGGGAAGGGGGAGGAGGAGAGGATGCAGATGAGGATGGAGGATGAGGGAAGGGGAGGAGGAAGAGGAATTGTTTTCTAGGGAAGAAGTGTAATTTGGGAATTGTTTTCTTGGACAGTGAGTTTGGGGCTTGGTTGCACTTCTTTTTTTATTTTAGGGCTTTTAGATTATGGTTCTTGAGCTAGGGGTGAGGATGCATGAGCCAACTTATTTTGGTTCCTCCAAACAATTTTTCCTTAATTTAGTCATTAGATAGTCAGAAAAGCATATTTAGGCTTTTACCGGTCCATTATTACAGTTAGGGCGGTGTTGAAAAAATTGAAAACATTTTGGGGGTTTTAATGAAACATCCCTAATTTATATCTTTATGTTGAGGTGAATACTGAAAATATCCTCCGAACTTCAGGATAATACGGGCTTCACGTGCCAAGATCAGTACGCCAGGTTGAGCGCGCCCACACACCCGAAAGCAAAATGAGCTGAAAATGCCACAAACCAAAACCTGTCGCACCTTTGAAAACTGCACCTCACAACCAAAAAGATCCCGGAAGACTCCCCTCCTCAAAAAAACATCGCTTTCTTTTCTGCTTGC